AAAAAAAAAGAAAAAAAAAAAAACCCAGGCATGGTAGCATGCACTGTGCACCGGTAGTCCCAGCTATTCAGGAGGCTAAGGCAGGAGGATCGCTTGAGCCTGGGAGCTGAAGGCTGCAATGATCTATGATCATGCCACTGCACTCCAGCCTGGGTGACACGCTGACACCCCGTGTCAAAAAAAAAAAAATTCATAATCATGGTCATCTCTGGAAAGGAGAATTAGAAATGGAAAACCAAGGGGTAAAGGATGGGGGAAAGGTTTACTTTTCATATATATCCTTTATTTCCTTTGAATATTTTACTATGCAATATATAATCTATTCAAAAATTAAAAATTCATCAAATATTAAAATTATATCAAACTCTATTATAAATTTTGACATCGCTTCAAGAAAAAATATTTGACTAGAAGACAGAATAGGGGTACTTAAGAATGTACCAAACCATGTTAAAATTCCATATTTAAAGGAAATTAGAAGTTTCTGATAAAACTAACGATCATCAGAAAGAAGTCAGAAATATAGAAATAAAGGCGTTAGGATGCTTTCCTTGCTTGGCACATTATTTCACATTCTAAGAGAAAAATAATGACAGCTTTCCTGAACAGAACACAAGCCTGAAAAGTCACTTAGTTCCTAGCAGTCCCTCCTCTTTCTCTTTGGTTGTTCAGAAGCTGCAGTTACCCAGCACTTTTTAGGCTTTTATAAATAAACAGGTTGGTCTGGCCAACGGGGGAGGAAGAATCAGGAAAATGGGAAAAGAAACCTTTTAAAATGAAATTGTACATGAACAAAGGAGCATGTTTATGGGGATTTGCATCTAAAACCACTTCCTTTTAACATTCTGGAACAAAAATATTTTGGCAAACTTTTATATAATGAATTGTAAATATCTATCAAGAATGACCTTCATTGTACATTCCTTGCAAGTTTATAGAAGAACATAGAGCATAAACAAGTGCATACAATAACATAGATCATAGGTAGTCACCACCTGAGCCTCCCTGCAATGCTTGGTAGCCCAGGGAAAGAACATCTAGGTCATAGTGAATATCTCTTCGTAAATTGTGTTTGAAGATATAAAATCTAAAATTATAGCCAGTGTTTTGCATCTATAAATGTCAGCAACTTTGTTAACACTTCATTTTCTATCCTAAGAAGTACTTTTTAATGGTCCTGGTTCAAAACCTTCATGTATACAGGCAGAATTTCTTTTTTTATTAGACACAAAGAACTCATGTTTTGTTTTCCCTTTCTGGCTTAAAAATGTTTTAACATCCCAGCCCTTTGGGTGGCTGAAGTTGGGGAAATAGCTCAAAGCCAGGAGTTTGAGACCAGCCTGGGCAACATAGTGAGAATTATATCTGTACAAAGAATTTAAACATTACCAAGGGTACCTGTAGTACCAGCTACTCAGGAAGCTAAGGCAGGAGAATCACTTGAGCCCAGGAGGTCAAGGCTGCAGTGAGCCGTGACAGTGCCACTGCACTCCAGCCTGAGCAACAAAGCAAGACCCTGTCTCAAAAAAAAAAAGAAAGAAAGAAAGAAAAATTGTTTTAACAACAATAAGCTGGTAGGTTAAAGGGCACTCATGAAGACAGTAGCCTTCAGTTAAAGAAGCAAATCACCAGGTTGAGGATATACTTCAAATATCAAATTAGCCTGGTTATGAATTGTCTATGAGAAAAGTCACTTTTTAGGTGAATGATTGGGTTCATCAAAGTTTAATCATATTCCACAAGTTGTTCAATGTTTTCTTGGGCAGATTCCACTCTTGCAGAACTGTACTGACTCTAAATACAACTTATGAGAAGATTAAAAGCATATGCTCTCTCACACTCACAGGTGGTCGCATTTTAAAGAACTGAACCGATGCCACATACAGACAGCAATTTTTATGGGAGAGACAAAAAGAGAGAAGAAAAGGAAAACCAGAAGACAATAAAAAGACGGGATACATCAGAGGATAAAAGGAGCTCATTTCCTGTAGAGGCACAAACTCCTTTCCTGTCTTCCTATCTCACTCCCCCAACTAGGACAGCTCCTCTATCTACAGCAGACCCTAAGTCACACCTCCATTGACCTAATAAAAACTGGTTCCTATCACTTATCTCTCCATTTGACTGCATCTCTGGCATTTGACCCTATCTTGAACAATTTTTTCATCCACCTTGTAATCATTTATTGAATGCCTCCATAGGCTGTAAGACAGAAGATGAGTCAAGGATGGTTTATCATCAAGGTCACAATTGATTTAATGTTTTATACCTCTTGACTTTGAAGCTTGAGCCTAACAAGGCATACCAGACTTCAACATCTTCCACCTTCACACAAACTTCCTACTGAAACAGGGCATTTACCTTGACCGCTTTGTGGGACTTGTGAAGTGGGTGGCTTGTTTACTTATCCCGCAGCTCTCAACCCCTCACGGGAAGGGGACCATGCAGGTGCCTGGGTGCAGGGGCCAGGATGAGTGCTTCTGGGTGCCAGCAAGAGCAGAACTCTGTGCGGCCCTGCAGCAGCATCTGGGGGGTACCCTTGACCCCTGGACCCCCAAAGGGTGTGTGTTACAGTGTGCTCTTTTAGCTTTGCCATCCGTGGACAGCTTAAGTGTTTAGTAGCTCAGTGTGACTACCCTCTGTATCCTGAGCTCTTGTTCGGGGTCCAGGAAGAATCGGGTCACACAAATGAGATGAAGATGGTAAATTCAGGAGATTTTATTGCTGAGGAAAGTGGCTCTTAGTGGGATGGAGAGCTGGAAAGGGAATGGAGTGGGAAGGTGGTCTTCCCCTGGAGTCTGGCTGTCCCCAGTTGAACTCTCTCCGAGGTTCCGCCGTCAAGCTGTCCCTCTGAAGTCAAGCCACTTCTCAATGATGTTAAGCTGCTGCTTCTCTTCTCTCCTTCTCTGCTGCTCTGCTTCCAGTGGAGCCTGGGATTTCTATGGGTACAGAATGGGGAGTGGGGTGGGCCAGGATCATTTTGGAAAAGACAACATTCGAGCAGGAAAACAGGAATGCATATTCTTGCTTTGGGCCACTGGTCCAGGCTTGAGGGTGAGGCTCTGCCAGGGACCCCTCCCTCTTCCACCCAGTATCTCCCTGCCTCCTGCCCATATCACCATCTATTTAATAACTAGATATTAGACTGATCGTTGAACTGAACTATTTCCTCCAACTGTGGTTATTATTATTTCTGTTCACAAGATTTTCTGCACTGGACATCAAGTATTTGTATTGCTTCCTAGCATTCAATGAGGAAATGGTTTGTCTGCGACATGGAGAGTTAGAAATATTCTCTCAAAACTGTGTCAGCCCTTGGGTAATATGAATCTGTGGATCAGGTCACCAAAATTCAGAATGGGGCCTTAGTGACTTAATCATTTGTTGATTCTATGCCTTTTTTTTTTTCTTTCACTATTGCTGATTTATTAGAAAGGATACCAGAAAGGAGGCAAATGAAGAGCCAAATGAAGAGATGCATAGGACAAGCTATAGGAGAAGGCATCCAGTGCTTCCATGTGCTCTATGGTGCAATGCCCTCCCATCACCTCCTTGTGTTCAGCAACCTGGAAACTCTCCCAGCCCAGTCCTTTGGGGTATTATGGAGGCTTTATTACATAGGCATGATGGATTAAGTCATTGGCCATTGGTGATCAACTCAGCCTTCAGCCTCTTTCTATTCCCAGAAATACAGGGGAGGGAACTGAATACTCCAGCCCTCTCATCACAAGGTTGGTTTCCAGGCAACCAGCTGCCTATCCTGAGGCTACCCGGGATCCCCCAGCCATCAGTCATCTTATTAGCATACAAAATGGCACTTGTCACCTTGGAGAGGCCAAGTGTTTTAGGAGCTATGTGGGAGGAAACAGGAATTAAGACCAAATGTATTCTTTCTTATTATAAATCCCAATAACACAGTTGACCTCTGGTCTTAGAACAGGATCCCTTACAGCAAAAGGATCATAAAAGTCAACAGACACTGGCACATTCTAGAATCCCATTCAGTCATTAATCATTAGTCTAGTCCATTTTATGTTATATGAAAATGTTTCCCAGGGAAAGGCCATTCAGGTTTGCAGGCTTTCATTCTCAGTAAACATAGCTTCACGGTTTTGGGCACCTGGTGTAATGGAGCTAGGAGACAGTATCATGTCTTGCTCTGAATCTCTCTTGAGACATTAGCATAAAGGATGCTGATAGAAAACACAAGATTCCTGGGTCAGAGACAAAGGACTTTGTTACTCACAGCACAGTGTGTCTGTTCATTACCGCACCCACACTTAATTCCTATGGGTATGAAGCAATGTGGGCCCAAGTGGAGACTGTGCACACAGTGGGATTGAGGAGAGGAGGTTCTTCACAGCTGAGGAACACTATGCTTGGAGAACCCACTCCTTTTACACAATAGGCAAGCCTGTTCATTGTGTGGTGAGAGATGTGACCTGAGGTCTAAAGATTGCTGGCTTCAAACACAACCCTGAGAACTGGCCTAGATAAAGAGTCACCTGGGCCTTGCACCCCGCATACACCCTGCAAGATTCATAGAAGCATGACTGACAGTCTTTCTCATAGAAGGCACATATTTCACATCTGGGGAAGGGGAACATGAAAATAATTTTATGGCCGGGCGCAGTGGCTCAAGCCTGTAATCCCAGCACTTTGGGAGGCCAAGGCGGGTGGATCATGAGGTCAGGAGATTGAGACTATCCTGGCTAACATGGTGAAACCCCATCTCTACCAAAAATACAAAAAACTAGCCGGGCGTGGTGGCGGGCGCCTGTAGTCCCAGCTACTCGGAGGCTGAGGCAGGAGAATGGCATGAACCCGGGAAGCAGAGCTTGCAGTGAGCTAAGATCGCGCCACTGCACTCCAGCCTGAGTGATACAGCGAGACTCCATCTCAAAAAAAAAAAAAAAAAAAAAGAAAAAGAAAATAATTTTATAACCGTAATATGTTTGTTGCCCAAAACATATGGCAAGTTAATACACAGAGACACTGGGTTGCAGCAGAGAAAGAGATTTAATCATAGTGTCACCAAATGAGGAAATGGGAAAAAACCTCAAATCTGTTCTACTCACAGAGTTTGGGGCTAAGGTTTTTAAGGGTTTTGGAGTGAGCCAAAGTGTGGACATTATTGATTGACCAAAGAGTGCAGGGTGAAGTCATGGGACAGGGAGATAAACAAGCTGTACTCTCATGTTGATTTGCTTTCTCTGGGGAGAATCTTCAAATTGGTTGGTGTCAGCTGTTCCACTAGAATTCAGGATCTGAAAAACATCATAACCAATTCTTAAACAAACGCCTTGTGATTCTAAGGCCAGAAATCCTATCTATAAGAACAATGGGGGTTGGGCACAGTGACTCATGCCTGTAATCCCAGCACTTTGGGAGGCTGAGGCAGGTGGATCACTTGACATCAGGAGTTTGAGACCAGCCTGGCCAACATGGTGAAGCCCCTTTTCTACTAAAAATACAAAAAAATTAGCCAGGTATGGTGGCACACACCTGTAATCCCAGCTACTCAGGAGACTGAGGCAGGAGAATCACTCAAACCTGGGAGGCAGAGATTGCAGTGATCTGACATCGTGCTATTGCATTCCAGCCTGGGCAACAAGAGTAAAAGTCCATCTCAAAACATAACAGAAAAAACAAACAAAAAAACAAACAATCGGGATGTGAATGTATCCAGTGCAGCACGACTTTGTGTTACAAGGAATGCAACCTGATTTATGCTTCATTCTAACTATATTTCCATCCAGAATTCTCATTAACCCTGTGAGGATAGCTTCAATTAAATTAATCTTAGTATTTTGGAATTTTGTTATGCATTTCCTTATGTACCTAGTATCCTCCTCTCCTCAATGACAAGCTACATTAGAGACTGAGGCTGCATCAAGCTCTTACTATTCCCAGCACTGTGCTAGAGCTTTACATGAAACATCCATTTAATCTTTGCAACTCCATGAGGTAGGTACTATTTATTAGTATCAGCATTTTGTGGATGTTGTAAATGAGATACAGAAAAGTTAAAACTAAAGTCACTCACATGGCAAAACTGGATTTTTAATGCAGATCTGATTGACTTTAGAGTCCATTCATTGTTAGGAAACTTCTCAAATACCAAATTACTAATCAAGCCTTGCAAGCATATGTTTATGGCCCTATCAATTTAAACACATTTCATGCTCTAAATAACATCTCCTTTCTTGGGTAGCCAAGATAGTCCTGGAAATATCCCTGGGTTTGCCACACAAGAATGCAAGCCACATTGTCATGTCGAGAGCTCTGGGGAAGTAAAATGGGTAAAGATTCTTGGAATGAAGAGGTGAGAGCCAAGAGCAGGTAGGAAAAGAGCAGGGAGGGTTCTGCCTCATCGTCCCCTCAGTTAAGAATGAACATTGTTAGGTTCCTCAAAAAACTAAAAATAGAGCTACCATGTGATCCAGCAATCCCACTTCTGGGTATATACCCAGAAGACAAGAAATCAGTCTATCAAAGAGATATCTGCACTCCCATGTTTGTTGCACCATTGTCTACAATATCCAAAATTTGGAAGCAACCTACGTGTCCATAAACAGATGAATGTGATATGGTTTGGCTGTGTCTCCCCCTAAATCTTATCTTGAATTGTAACTCCCATAATTCCCATGTGTTGTGGGAGGGACCCGAGAGGAGATAATTGAATCATGGGGGTGGTTTCCCGCATACTGTGCTCGTGGTAGAGAATAAGTCTCGTGAGATCTGATGGTTTTATAACGGGAAACCCCTTTTACTTGGCTCTCATTCTCTCTTGCCTGCCACCATGTACTTGCTTCTGCCATGCTTCTGCCATGACTGTGAGGTCTCCCCAGCCATGTGAAACTGCGAGTCCATTAAACCTCTTTTTCTTTATAAATTACCCAGTCTCAGGTATGTCTTTATCGGCAGCATGAAAATGGACTAATACAGAACGGATAAAGAAAACGTGGTACATACACATGATGGAGTACTATTCGGCCTGAGACCTTGTCATCTGCAGCAACATGGATGAAACTGGAGATCATTATGTCTAGTGAAATAAGCCAGGCACAGAAAGACAGACATTGCATGTTCTCACTTATCTGTGGGATCTAAGTTAAAACAATTGAACTCATGGAGATAGACAGTAGAAAAATGGTTACTAGAGGTTAGGACGGGTAGTGGGGGAGGGGCACAATGGTGAAGCGGAGGTGGGGATAGTTAATGAGTACCAAAAAATCAGTTAGAAAAAAATGACTAAAACCTAGTATTTGACATTGGCTATAGTCAACCATAATTTAATTATACATTTTAAAATAACTGAAAGTATAATTGGATTGTTTTTAACACAAAGGATAAGTGCTTGAGGGGAGGGACACCCATAATGTGACTATTTCACATTGCATGCCTGTATCAAAACATCTCATGTACTCCAAAAACATATACATCTACTATGTACCCACAAACAAATTTTTTTTAATGAACGTTGTTAGAGTCTAAATTCAAAAAAGTAATTGAGTACCTAGATATCTCACAGTAAGGATGTGTGGAGACCAGAGCATGACTCAGCTGTTCAGGTCTACCTGTGAGTGGGGCCTGCCTGAGACTCTGGGCTTCTCATCAGGACAGTTCACAGATAAGGGTGTTTCTACCACTGTGAGACAGATGGCGTTCCTCGAAGGATTGTCCATAGAATTACCTAGGATGGGAATTAGAATTGTTATCAGAAAATGGGATTGGTGTTAAAATAGGAAAGGAACAGCTTGGTGCTTGACACTGGGAAGGTAAAGTGGGGCATTGTAACAGGAGCTCGGGGGCACAACGAAGAGTGGGACAGGGTCAGATGTGTCAGGATGGGGGAAGGGTGATGTCCTGAAGTGCTGGGCGTCTATCCATGGAGTCCTTCAAGGGCCAAGGTCCCCTCTCTCCATGCCCAATCTACAGACTTGTCATTACAAATATCTTGGTTTAATAAAATTCAGTACTCCTACATATTTTTAGGGGGATATACAGGTATGTGGGGTAGAGGGGATGACAAATGCTGCCCATATACCTCGAAGTGTTTCGAGAGGCTACACTCAGCAATAAGTGATAGGGACAGGAGGCTGGGAAATTCTAGGCAAAGAGGGCAGGTCTCCAGTGAGGCCCAAGCCTCAAGCCTGGAACCATGGCTTAAAGTGAGAACATACATTCCTGTTTTCCTACTCCAATGTTGCCTTTTTCAAAACCACCCATGGCCCACCCCACCCTGCATCCTGTGCCCATAAAAACCCAAAGCTCTGGCAGCAGAAAAGCGAAGAGGAGAAGCAGCTGGATGTCAGAGACTACAGTCCAGGAGAAGCGGCTTGACTTCAGAAGGACAGCTTGATGGTGTAGCTCCGGGGGTAGAATACCTTCCCGCTCCATCCCCTTTCCAGTTCTTCTTCCCACTGAGAGTCACTATTATCAGCAAAAAAATCCTCCACATTCACCACCTTTCAATTGATTCATGTGACTTGATTTTTCCTGGACACTGAACAAGAGCTCAGGTACCACAGGTGCGGGTGCAAAAGGCTGTCACACCGAGCTGTTAATACTTAAACCATCTGCGGATGGAAGAGCTAAAAGAGCTCTGTAATACATGCCCTCAGGGACTTGAGGCATTGTGGGAACCCCCTTAGATGCTGTTGCAGGGGTGGTATGAAGTCCATTTCTGCCATTATCCAAAAGCACTTGCCCTGGCTCCTGCACCCACTCACTTGTGTGCTCCCTCCCAGGAGGGTTGAGCACAGTGGGTTCGAGGGAATGAAGTTTGCCCCTGAAGGCGCCAAAGTGGCTGGCTAGTACAGCACCTACACTGCAGTTCCTGCCCAAGAAGGGGTCAGGGAAAATTTCCTGCTTCACAAGGATATTGTTCAAACTAAAGATTTGGCTTCTCAAGGAAGAGTGCAACTAAAACAAAGCTTACTTGAGTATGCACACACCTGTTAAGCATTGAGACACACAAAGGTAAAAAATGACACACACATATCAATTCAGTTCCAATCATGTGAAGTATCTAGAAAGAACTTCCCGCTCTCAGGTGAACTCACCATGCTGTCCTATCCCTTGTTCATCATTCCACTATAATTGTGGGACACTTCTTGTGTGGATGCTTGCTCCAATCTGCTTTCTAGATTTCTGATTTCCTAGGCAGAGGACATTGACAATATACAATCACTTTATTTTACTTTTATTTTTATTTTTATTGTACTGTATTTTAGAGACAGGGTTTCACTGTGTTGCCCAGGCAAGAGTGCAGTGGTGTGATCGTAGCTTACTGCAATCTCAAACTCCTGGGCTCAAATGATCCTCCCACCTCAGCCCTGCCCCTCACCATCACCCCCCAGTAGCTGAGACTACAGGTGTGCAGCATCATGTCCAGCTATTTATTTATTTATTTATTTATTTATTTTTAGAGATGGAATGTTGCTATATTGCCCAGGCTGGTCTTGAACTCCTAGCCTCAAGCCATCCTCCCACCTCAGTCTCCTAAAGTGTTGGGATTACAGATGTGAGCCACCACACTCAGCCTTACAATCACTTTAGAAGTTGTATTTTAATGTCACAGCAAGTAAAGCTGGAATATAAAGCCATATAGATCTTTGGGGACATTTTTAGTTGCTTTCCATTCTTTCTTTTTACATTGTATGACATGAGAAACAGATTCAGTTCTTAGTTTCAAGTGCTCAGGACCAAAATAGAAGATACGTACCTTTCCCCACCTTTATTTGGACTCACTGACATTAGTGGATAGCACTTTAGGGTTAATAATTGATAAATTACATCATTAATCATGAGAAAAGCTCATTTATGTTTGAGAGGAGTCTCCATATCCGGAACACTAAATTTTTTTAGATGGAGTCTTGCTCTGTCACCCAGACTGGAGTACAGTGGTGCAATCTCAGCTCACTGCAGCCTCCACCTCCTGTGTTCAAGCAATTCTCCTGCCTCAGCCCCCTTAGTACCTGGGATTACAGGTACCGCCACCACACCCGGCTAATTTTTGTATTTTTTAGTAGAGATGGGGTTTCACCATGTTGCCCAGGCTGGCCTTGAACTCCTGACCTCAGGTGATCCGCCCACCTTGGCTTCCCAGAGTGCTGGGATTACAGGCATGAACCACTGCACCCAGCCCAGAACACCAAATTTTTTTAGCACTCTATTCACACATGCACATGTCAATGAAAAAAAAAAATGAGTCAGTAACATACCACAGGACAGCTCAAGGGCAGATTGTAAACACTAACAGAAGCACAGGAATTTACAACCAGAGGCTATCACCTTATTACTAGTCATACCCATTGCCTGCCATAGGATCTGCTTAAAATACTTTATTGCAAATTCCAAATTATAATTACAAATTATTTATTGCCTCGTTCAGGGATTATAGATTTTAAAAAACTTTGAATGATTAAATAATGCCTAGAAAACCTGTCTCAAAATTTTACTCTTTATTATTTAAAAAAAGAAAGAGAAGCACCTTAATTTATGAAGGGAGAAAACCCAAAAGATGTAGATGACTGTAGCTTCCAAGTCAAATCACTTAATTTGGTGTTATGTGCTATGTTAATTTCAGTTTTCCTACAGAAGAGTAAGTCTAATTGAAGGTTTATCTGACATTTCTTCTCTCAGTGCTGTGAATTCTATCCCTTGCCATTTTTCTCTGGCAAATTGATGCACACCATTACTCTCGGAGCACACGTGGAGGCAGCTGCTACAGCAGAAGTTACCTTTTCCCGAATTCCACAGATTGAACCAGCTATCCATTAGAGAAGACAGCTTTGGCCTGGAATCCAGTAGATGGGCGTCTAGTCTCAGCGTCTCCACCAGCCTGCTGTGTGACCTTGAAGAAGTCATCACCCCTCTGGGACCAGATTCTTCCCATCTAATTTTAGAGGGTTGCAGGAGATGGTCTCTGGGGTACCCTCCAGCCCTAATCTGATGGTCTGTGGTTATGGGAGAGAAATGTAGCCATGGTGAGAATAGAAAAAAAAAAAAATGAGTTGCCTGAAAGGAAACTGGTTCAAGCTAAAAATTCAGGCCAGCAGTGGGATCCAAAAAAATGGCAGGTGGCAGGATTTCCAGTGCCTGCCTTTTGGTTTCATAGTTCTCATCTCAAGTCTTGGAAAACCAACATCTCCAGACAGTCTCTTCTCTATTTTGGCATCCTCTGACTCCCAGTCAGCCCTGAGACCAAACATTTGCTCCTAGTGCCCTAGTAAGGGGCTCCCCATAGTCCGCACCTCCTCTTTCTTCCCATTTCCCTCTCTCTCATGTTGACATACCCATAGCATGAAGAATGAAAAGGCTAAAGGCACAGAAACACTAACTTCACATTTTCTCACTCATTCATGAAATCTAAACATTAAAACAATTGAACTCATGGAGATAGAGAATAGAATGATGATTACCAGAGGCTGAGAAAGGTAAGGGGTGCAAGGGGAGTGGGGATGGTTAATAGGTACTAAAATATAGTTAAGAGAATGAATAAGATCCAGTATTTTATAGCACAAACAGGGTGACTGCAGCCAACAATAATTTATTGTACACTTTAAAACAAGTAAAAGAGTATAAGTGGAATGTTTGTAACACAGAGAAATGATAAATGCTTGAGGTGATGGATAGCCCATTTACCCTGATGTGATTATTATGCATTGGGTGCCTGTATCAAAATATCTCATGTACCCCATAAATAGATACACCTACTGTGTACTTATAATAAACTAAAAATTAAAAGAATGACGAGGCAGAGGAAAAGTAAAGAGAATTTATGAATATGTAGCAACAAAATAAGGAAGACGAAGGACAACTCACTTCACAAAGGAATCCTAAGCAGAACTTACCAAAAGGATGACTGAAGAGAGATTTAAGATGCCCCACATCTAGCTGATGAATAATCTTGGAAAATACGGAAAGCGGAAGTTAGGGTCCCATAAGCAGAGGGCTGGCTTGGCCATTCTCAGGAAGGATTGAATAAATCAAGAAATGGGGGTAAAAAAAAAAAATGCTGAAACCAGGAAGACACTATGTTATCAACTCTCACAGGAAGAAGCCACAGACCTGTGCTGGCATCATTCAAATCCGACGAGTTGGGGCATCAGAAAGCCATTCCAGAGGGAACACCCCCCAGGGTCAGATGACTGGGCCCGCCCGCATGACTTAACACATCCTTCCTCCCTAGTCTATTTTGGTGTGTGGGTGGAAGCCGCAGCAGCTACGGCCCAAGGACTCCAAGAACAGGAATCATATGGGTGAAATTACTCCAGTTGATAGTAGTTGGACATCAGTTTACAGGAATAGCATCATAAATTGCTAATTTTGGCAAACAGTGTAGTGGGATACGGTGCGTTTTCCACATGGACACCCAAGGTTTTCATTGCCGTGAAAGCAAAAGCCACTTTGCAGTAAGCACACATTTCATAACGTAGGGCTCCTCGTGGGATTTTCAGGTGTGTGAAGAGGCAGGTGTGGGGAAGGGGGCATTTTGTATTCCATCCATCAAGCTAAACAGAAGAATGTAACAGAAATGTTCTGACCTAGCTAGCATGAGGAGCATATTCCAACCAAGACCCCAGCTGCTTCCACAGGCCTCTCCAGTCCAACTGGAGGGGGTGACAGACTGCAGTTGGAGCAGCCTGGTCCCCTTCATGGCAAACAGTTCCTGGGAGTGTCCTGCTGAGAAGAGGACACTGGTAGGTACCAAAGAACAACGATGCTTACTGGAGCCCCTCCAAATGTATTCCTGTTTCTTCCAGCGGACAGTACCCTGTCACCCAGGATAGTCACTTCTTTTAGAGGAGAAGACCTCCCATTGTGATGTAAAACAGATTTGCAAGCGATTTCTGCTCCAAAACTGCAGCACCAAAGAAAATAGCGACCAAAGTTAAACTATGCAGGCAGCAATGCGGTTTCAGGTCGCCCACTCAGGTCAATCCACTTCATTGGACTCCTGAAATGGATTCCTCATTCCTGAAATGAATTTTTCTATTGCTACTGTGAAGCAAGTCAGTGCCTAGCTAACAAGAATTCAGGATTCATTTTCTCTGCAGTTTCTAAGCAAGCTCTACCTGATGGAGTTCCGAAATTCCAACAACCTTTTCTACAAGAATAGGGTGTCCTCCAGGATAAAACTTGACCTCCTTCTTAAACAGCTTAGATCCTAATCAAAGATTATATAGAGGCTATAAAAGAATAAGGTTCCCTCCCTAAAAATCCAAACTTGTGGCCCGGTAATAACATTTTTTAAAAAATCAGTGGCTATTTAAAGTTAGTCCTGGGTTCATTAGAGTTTCAATACCATACCTACTACTGAGCTGATGACAGGCAGGGATTTTACAGAAATCAGTGGATTCAATTAGCACCAGGGGTCCACAAGTCAAGCACTTCCAGGCTACAAATTATTGGTGACATTTCTAAGCACAGATTGACAGCTGAATCCAGGACAGCTTTCTCTATACCTTTGAAGCATTATTAGGGAGCAAATACCCTACCCAAGTTTTCTAATCTACTATATTAAAAAGAGAACTTCCTAAGAATTTTATTGTCACACCAGTCCATATTGCTCAGGTGACTGGTATATGCTTACTTTAATGAAACCAAAACAGGCTTGTTAGTGATGTTTACATTTTATACTTTTAGGAACAGATATCTGCAGGCAACTAGATTGTGTAAAATTCATTATTGTGATAAGATTATAAAGTTGTTGGTTAGTAATTGAGTAGATTCTCCTGTCCCCATAAAATTTCAGAGCCCTGTCTTGCAATAAAGGAGCTAGAGTCCATTTCTGTTTTAAACTTGTTATTCTCAAACTGTTCCCATAAAACAATAGTGCTCCATAAGCCGTGTCAAAATATCCTGCAAATAAAATCCAAGGATGTCAGACACAAACAAGTCCTAGGAAGAATATTGAGTTAATGACCGTCAAGCTGGTTTTCCAACATATATTTTTCTTACACCCTTGGTGTTTGCTCCCACGTGTCTGTTAGAATACCACTGGAAGATGACAAAATAGAAGAACAAATAGCAAATGATCAGATGAAAACTCAGTAACTGAGGATCCCGCTGGTTCACCAGCCTGTTTCTTTTCTCATGTATATGTGTGTTCATGGCTGTGGTTTTATATCATAATTATAGAGCATGCTCCCATTAAGTTTTGCAATTTTTAGAAGAGGAGGGGTGTCTCGCGCACAGCTCAGCTGACTCTTTAAAAATATGTGTCTACCTCAAGAGAGGAAAAATAGCACATGCGTATTCTAAACACTGTTCAGGGACTTTTAACTCATTGCCTTTTAACTCATTGCCTTTAACTCATTGCCTCTTAACTCATTGCCTCTCAGTAGTAAGTGAAGGTCAGTTGAGAAAAACAAGGCTGAACGATATGTAGTTTATCCCCTTCTCAGTCATCTAAAGCAGGAGTAAATTTTATCTGTAAAGACCAGATAGTAAAAACTTTAGCCTTTGTGGACCACGTGGTTTCTGCCTCACCTGTTTAACTCTGCTGTTGTAGCAAAAATGCAGGCGTAGACATTAAAATAAAAGAATGTGATGTATGCCAACAAAACTTTACTTACAGACAACAGAAATTTGAATTTTATATAATTCTCATACATCATGAAATATTCTTTTTTTACACCACTTATTTTTTAAAAAATGATATTTAACTCACAGGCTATAGTTTGCCAGCCCCTATCCTAAATTCTAGATGCTTTAAAATGCATCCTTGGTGTCTCAGTTTTCTGTTGCTTATAAGAGAATATCTGAAACTGGTAACTTATTTTAAAAAGGAATTTATTTCTTATAGTTATGAAGATTGAGAAGTCTGGTGTTGAGGGGCTGAGTCTGGTGGGGGCCTTCTTGCTGATGCAGACTCTCTGCAGAGTCTCCAAGCAGCACAGGTGAGGGTGTTGGCTCACGTTCCTCTTCCTTCTTTTTATGAAGCCACCAGTTCCCCTCCCTTGAAAACCCATTAATCTATTAACCCATTAATCCATTAATCAATTAATCAGAACCTTCATGACCCAATCACCTGTTAAAGTCTCCACCTCTCTACTGCCATACTGCGGACTAAATTTCAACATGAGTTTGGGAGGGGACAAACATTCAAACCATAACATGACTTTTGGAGAACTGAGCACCTGGACTTTCTCATTTTGGCCCTTCACCAAGTTACAGTTGCTGAATTGGCTTTGCCACAGTACCATCAAATCGCACAAAGGGAGGTATATGAAGCAGCAAATGAACCTCATGATTGGGTTTACTGTGAAGATGCCACCAGAGCATCATACGATGTGTTTCAGGGTGGACAATTTCTCTCAGGTCGTGATCACAGGAATGGTTGTACTCCTGGGAAAATGGCTTATCGAAAAGAATCAGAACACTGATCACTCTCCCTCTTTTCACCTGCTAGAAAGTTCACAGGCCAATTCACTCAGGTCTAGCAAGCATATGGAATTGCATGTGTTCTGTGTAAATATAGCCCACCTTTAACTTAGTTTTCCAGCCTAATTTTTTCTTTTATAGTGCATTCTTCACTTTTTAAATATTATTGTATTGCATGAATTTCAGTAATTAGCTTAATAAGGTAGGATACAAATAAAAGAATACAAGTAAGATATATACATTATGCTCATGTTTCTGTACTTAAGACTGTTGGCAACTTTTTAATGAAAGGTGATTTGCCATAGTGTTCCCAAACAGAGCATGATGACTCCCAGGTGTGGAAAGAATAAGACCAGTGGATTGAATTTTTCTTTCTTTCTTTTCTTTCTTTCTTTCCTTCCTTCCTTCCTTCCTTCCTTCCTTCCTTCCTTCCTTCCTTCCTCCCTCCCTCCCTCCCTTCCCTTCCTTCCTTCCTTCCTTCCTTCCTTCCTTCCTTCCTTCCTTCCTTCCTTCCTTCCTTCTTTCTTCCTTTCGTCCTCTTTCTTCCTTTCGTCCTTTCTTTCTTTCTGACAGAGTTTCACCGTTGTTGCCCAGGCTGGAGTGCAGTGGCACAATCTCAGCTCACTACAACCTCTG